TGAAGGCATATGAATAATACATGTATAGCATCTACAAGTACTAGATGCTGCCTATTTATTTTAGAAAAGTATATTAATGACTCAATTATTTATAATTAGTTATATAGGACGACTAATGCCGTATGTAACAGTATTTAATGAACCCCTTTGGTAATTGCAATGGAGATAATAATGAAAAGGACAACATAGGAAGTCACAAAACAGGAAAGACTTCGAGGCTCATGAGGTGGTGAATATAGTTCTACTCTAGTGCAGCCTACTGTGCAGCCTACTGGATGAACAGCACGTAAAAACCCCCCAAACACCAAAAAGCAATAAAGTCTGTAGGCTTTTTTATCTCGTACCAGATCTGGAAACTCAGGTTTCTTTTTAGGTGAGCTCGGTGATAGCATACAGACAAGATGCTATTCTAGAAGACATAAAGAACAGGCTTTCAGAGGAGGGAGATGTTACATCTTATTTTCTTCTGCTGCTTATAAAAAGTGTGCACCGTCATCATTTTCTTTGTTTTTATTTTATTCATTATACATTGGGCACTTCGTGCTTATTTTTTCTTGTATTTAGTCCAAGCTACGTACATGTGTTGCCACTCTTTGTACCTCTGTAACTCTGTGGTCTTATTACTCTGGCAAGTATCAATTTATTAGTTCTGCAATTGTAGTAAACCTTTTTAGATACCTGTGGCTGTTCCTGCTGTTAAGCACTCATATAAATGGTTCGAAAAAATATCTGCTCAAATATTGTGATACTGATCACTGATGAAGACCTTGTAGCTTATTATAAAAGTGTAGTAAGTATTGGCTTGTACCTATAAAAGTACTTGCATGGCTTTTGGTCCAGTTGAAGGTAAAATGCTGTTGTTTGCATCTTCCATGCTTATGTGCTTACCGCTGCCACTAATGAAATGGTCGTGAGATGTTACTACCTGTGTGATAAGCTTAGTGGAGTAGTTCTGCGCATGTTCTGTACAGCAGAGAAGTTTGTGCAGACACCATTATTATTTTAAGATGAATGTAAATGGTCTTTCAAAGATCTTGTTTCATGCACTGACAAGCTAAAAGGAACTGCTGGGAGCATATTAAGGGCAGGGTTCTTCTCAACCAGTCTGAGACATTTACAATGGAGATTCTAGAACTTAACTGATCACCCAGGGCCCTTTATCATCATTGGAGAGGAACTGGTGGCTTTGGGGCATGCTTAATCTTAACTGCTATTAGACATCTGCTTTAGGAAAAGTGGAATCACATCCTAGGATACCCAGACTCTTTTGACTTTACCTGCATCGATGGTAAGGATACCTCTGCATCTACATTGTGGGCATCCAGATGTAGTGAGATAAGTCCAGTAGATGGTGAAGTCCCAGAACGCAGTCCTCAGAAGCCTCCGTGCTGCATTTGCACATGGCCAGGTGGCTGCCATCCTGACGGGTCTGGTGACCCTTTGATGTGCAAGTGGAATTGGCTGTATTTCCAATTTCCAGGGGGGACTCTGAGGCATATTTAATGCATACAGGGAGAACTGACATCTTGAAATACAACAGTCCGTTTCATTAAAAGTCATGCCAGGAGGAGCAGGCTCCTTTCTCCAGTAGCTCACAGAAAGGAGAATCCCCTCAGAGTAATGGGAGTGCACACGAGTGCTCTCTGTGCAATGTTGTTCACATCCATGTATCCTGCTACATCTCAAGAACCTGTCTTAGCACTTGGGTGTAAGCTGTTCTGGAGTGGGAGGACTCTCTCCCTTTAAAACTGTGTCACTTGACTGTAAACTGGGCCAAACAAAATAAAATTTGGTCTAAGATTATGCACCTCCCTTGACAAGGGGAGCCCTAGGCTGCTGCCCTGCTATGAGAACTATTTCTACATTTAATGCAGTGTTCAGTGTGTTTGATCCTATGTGTTCCTTCTCCCAGATAGGTGATTTAATTGCTTCACTACAAAATGTGCTCGTTACTGTTTCTCTCTGACCGATGCCTTCTCCCAGGCTGTAGAAGATTAGGTCATACATAAGCCTTGGGCTGTCATTGTGCACCACAGAGAATGTTAAAAGTAAATCTTTTTTACTGTTTGCCTTTACCTCTTGTGGTGGCACGCTTTTTGGCACACAGGGTGGCAATTATTAGAAATTTGTTTCCAGTAATGAATACAGAGTGTTAACTCTCTGGTTAATGCCAAGTCTCTCTGGTTAATGCCAAGTAGAGTGACGAGTACGCTTGCCTCCTTGCTCACTGCTGACTTGCTGACATCTGAGAAAGGTGGTTACATAGCCTTGGTGTTCAATTTGTGCTAAAATAGTAAATAGCCAGTTTGAAGGTTGATAAGCTGTTTGAGGGGCTAAGGAATGACTATAATATATGCAGGACGAATTTAAGTTACAAAAGTAACTTGAGATTAATTTCTTTCTGTAACTCAGCTCTGGCAACATTCCTTGAAGGAAATTTAATACATCATCTTTGTTGTATGTAAGATCTGTTTTGTTATAAATAGGGCAAAGTTATAACAGGATTTGATCACCCTGACTGGAGCTTTGTAAAGAAGGGGCCAGGCACTAAACCGTTGATGCTCAAATCAGGGAAAAAGCTAGTTAGTTTTCTTGACATTAAGGGAACGAATTTTTAGAAAGCCGTTCATTGATATCTGACAAACAGCTTGAAAGGGATGCCAAACCCTCAGGGTTTCTGTCATGAGCCTTAAAACACATTTGCATATTTTCTGCATAGAAACAGGAGCTCGCTCTGCAGAACTAAAAGGATGCAAAAACTCTATCTAGTCCGAAGGGCTCTGAGGGGGAACTTCATAATCAGAATTCAAATGTGTGCAACAGATTAGGAAAATGACTTCAAATGGGATTTCAACCATATCTGAGAGAGATCCACAAATCCTGAGCAGATTGGTAGGCAAAATACTACCTACACTGCCATTAAAAAGCTTGTTTTCTTCTCTGGGCATTTCTCATGTAAAAAATAGCTTGCTGACGTCAACTGATCACACGGATTAATGTTGATTAAGGTGCCACTGCTTAGTTTTATTGATATCAAATGCAGTTTTTCTGACAGTTTTGATTTCTCTTTCTCAAATTGAAAACAATATCATCATGAATAGGACCAGAGTGATGGAGGAATAAAGAAATTGTGGTCCTCTGCCTACAGCCAGTGCACCCAGTGTTCTTCCTAGCTATACCATTTACTGTGAGTTGTTGTGGATTGAACTGGGAGTCCCCAGGCCTTGAAAGGGCCGCAGGGTGCCTTGCCAGGACGGGCAGCTCTGCTGAAGTAAGTGCAGAATCTGTGACGGTGTGAGCCGGACTGGTGTAACTCCTGCTGCTGGGCTTCAGCTGGAGGTTTGATTGGCAAGTGTTAGCACCCGTGGTGTGGTCCACACACAGATACAGCTACCCTGGCCCCTCTGGCATCCCTCATGCTGCTCTTATGCCTGCCATTTTCATTGAATGGTTTCCTCTTCTGATTCCACATACTATTCTTTTCTTTCATTAAAGGAAAATGCTTGCAAAGACAACAAAGCATTTGGGGCCAAGATTGCATGTAATGTGCAGGTGATGTTTTGTTGGCAATATCCTCCATATCATGGACTAAATGTGCCTTTATCGTTTTGAGGAGGAAGCTGATGACTGCAGAGGAATTTATGATGGATGAAAGTACCATATAATTTTTAGCACATAGATTTACTCTCCAGTCATCCACCCACCCAGGCAGTAATGTGGGTGGAGTTCTCATTACTATTAACAGAGAGTTGCCATTTAAATTTCACATGCATCAAGCAAACAATAGACTTCCATTGCGTATACGTGGCACTGCCATTGATCTGATTGATTCTGAGTTGCAGTGGTGGATGTGGTCAGTGATGTGTGAATTAATAGGAAAGGCACAGTTAAATCTTTTCATGAATGTCTATATTAGTCAGGACTATCTTTGCAGTAAAGTGCTAATAAGAAAATCAGTACTGATACAGTTAGATGACAGCCCATAATGGTGATGATGTTAGAAAATAAATAAATTATCCGTGACTTGTTATAGATTTGTGCAACACTGGTGGGGTTTTAAAACTGTAGAAAAAGATTGATATCGTATGTTCTTTAGACATCTGGCTCTATTTCTGTATGATGTGACTTTTTATCTCTTTACCCTTCATTTTCAAGGCTCACGTAACAACAGCATAGGTTGACAGAGATTTAAAACACAGAGAGTGTACATGGCTTCACATCACTGTCCTACAGAGAATTGTGTTTAAGACTAAATGGCAGGGGAGGTCTTTCAGTAGCTCAGAAGAAATGCTTTTGCCAAGTTTGTGTGATTGGAGTCAAATCAGGAATATTAGGTATGTCTCCTGCCTTTTGGAAAGATGATCTGAGCACGAGACTGTCGGTGGAGCAATGTGCTGCTTTATTAAAGAGAAGCTCAGGTTTGCTGGGTTGCCTGGTTTTGTGCCTTGTCTGCAGCTTTTTGGGGGAATGGCCCAGGTTCCCTGGCAAGGGTGGAGGAGATTCCTGTGCAGGATAGCCCATTGCTTGGCAAGGGTGCTCCCCGAAGGGGTGAATATGTGAAGGATACTGAGACGGAGCTGGTGGTCTGCGTGGGGCTGTACCAGTGGAAGGGGAGGGGATCCTGGGATGGCAGCTGTTCAAGGCACATGCAGAAGCAAAAGCTATCGTGTTGCCAGTTTTTGCCAGTAAAATTGTTACTTGTCTAAGATATATGGGGCTGTGTGGGGCAGATCTAGTTCTCATACTTAAAATTGAAATCCATTTGTGTATCTGGGTCCTACAGTCTGGCAGAGCTGCTGAAATACAAATTGTGAAACAAATATCCTGCTTTCTACAATGTCAGTGTAGTCCAAGGGCCAGCATTTATATAGAAACATATTTGTAGCAATTTTAGAAGCACTATTTTTGATATAATTAAGTATCTTTTTTCAGTAAATAGGGAAAGCATTTAATTCTGTTTTCACCTTGGTTTCCATAATTTTGTTTCCAGCAGAGTCAAAATGTCAGACAAAAGCGATTTAAAAGCAGAACTTGAGCGCAAAAAGCAGCGTTTGGCTCAGATAAGAGAAGAAAAGAAACGGAAGGAGGAAGAAAGGAAGAAGAAAGAGGTAAATATGCAAAAGCACCTTTTAGATAGCTCACGCTTGCAGAAGGGGCTTGCTGAGGTTTTGACATCTCAGTATTGTATACCCCAAGATATCTGTCATGTGGAATGAGATCCTCATCAGTCTAACCTTAAAATCAAAATGCTTATTTTTAGTCAAGAAAGTTGGGGTGAGGGAATTGCTTTTAAAACCATCGCACTGTCAGATGACAACAGTTTAGACAACATGATGCGTATGTGTGTGTAGAAAGAAAAATTGATTTGCCACAATGCTTTTTCCTGGGCTCTCCTTCAATGGAAAGGGAGTGGAGAGTGGGGAAAGACAGAAAGAGGGCTTACATTTTTTTCAAGCCATTACAATCTAAATATGTATTTTTGTACTCTGAAGACTAGTTTGATTACTAGCTAAGGTAACAGATTTACAATTATTATTCTCCAGTAAAGTAAAACATAATTGCAATTGCATTTTCATCTTTTGGCATGGGTGCATCTTTCAGTTCTGTTAAAGTTTGATTGACATATTAGTTTATTTGTCCTTGACAATATGCATTAGGTTTTTCATTAAGGGATTTGTACTTCTTTTTATTCAGTCACTTAGTGAAATAGAAGTGAGAATTGACAGGGAGTGGATATTCATTTTCATGCAAAGTCAGAGAAGCATTAAGTGATTATGTTTCCTTTCCTTCAAATGTCAACACTTACCATAGTTTAAAGCACCTGTTATCCTTTACTAATAACTGGTTTCCTTTTAAACTGACACTTTAATATTGTACATGAATTTCATGGAATTACTGTGGAAATGTGATGTGATCCAAGAAATCAGCGTTCCGGTTTTAGCTGTCTTTTTAATCTCTTTTCATTTGAGCCATTTTTGTGCAATTACCAGCACACCCCCCAGTGAGGCTCCTGGAGTCACTGGGGGAGTCCTCTGTAAGCAGAACTTTAAATGTTAACATTTCCAGTGTTCATTACTAGCCTGTTAATGAATTAGAGGGAAGGGAGCCAAGCTAGTGGCTCGAGGAAGCTATTAAGTCCTTTCCTTTGTCCCCTGCCTCTGATTTTATGCCTCGTGGAGATCTTGTGGTGGTTGGAACTTTCCGTTGGCCTCGATAGCCAGATCCAACTCAGGACACTCAACTCTACAGATTACACTGTGGTGCCTAACAGTGGCACCGTAAATGGGGTGCACTGGTATGCCTGATGGCCTCCAGGAGTGAAGTGTAACCCTTAGCCACGTACACTGGTGCAGAAGAGTTGTCTACAACCCTACGTACTGTGAGATACTTCAGGCTAGCTCATGGGAAGAGCTGAGCACAGGAGTGTGCCTGAACTTTGTTGTTGTCTGTAAAAGCAGTATGTTCTGCATCCTGGCCATGTCCAAACTGGAGAACATGGGGATGCTTCTGAACTTCAAGGTTTTCTGTTGTGCCTGCACCAACATCAACACCAGGCTGAGGCACTGTGCGAGTTCTGTGTGCCCCACAACACAGAAACAACACTGCAACACACAGCCTGAGGCACTGTGCGAGTTCTGTGTGCCCCACACTCTGGTTTCAGCAGAAAGGAAAACCTCTCTGTGTGGAGGTTAGATAGGATCAGTCGATTTAGAAGCAACCTTAGGATCCAAAGTATAGAGGCAGATGCTGCCAGACATTCTCTGTAAGAACTATGCTGGGATTGCTGTATTTAAGACATGAGAAAATGATAGACACGACCACTTGCATTTTGTTTTACTTACATTATTGGTTACTGCACTAGACTACAAAGTGGAACACGGGTTCATTTCCCTCATCTGCTTGGGAGAAGGGCTGCAAGCCTGTTCCGTTCAAGGGAGTGCTCTAACCACTAGGCTGGGGTATCGGTGTTTTCCTTCCACCTTACTAAACTGGGGAACAATGAGCCAAATGTATGGGATTCTGGCTAATGCAGATGTTGCTCCTCCTGTTTCTAGGTCCCACTAGACCAGAGGGGGAGGAGGCTAATGTGTGGAACTCCAACTAGATACAGATATCTAAGGAAAGATGGGGGGGTCTTGTGGACCATTAGTTTTGGCTGTTAGTGCCCAGGGCTGCCAAAATCCTATTTTAGACACATTAGTCCTTTCCTTTGCTCCTGTTAGATGTTGACGTTTATGAGAAAGTATTTTTATTGCTAACATGCTTGGGACCAAATGTAGGCCCTTAAGCTACATCACTGAAGTCCAATGGAATTTTATTTCTTGATCCTTGAGTAAGTAGGAAGGGGCCATTTTTATTCATTTATTAATGATATCTGTTATTCTATGGTCAGCTTTTATATTAGCTGAGTAAGTTGCATCTGATGAGTGAGAGGCAGAAGATGTCCATCAGTGTACTGTAAAAATCCTTGCAAATATACTTGCAAAGATCAGTTTTCCCATGCATTCAGGGAGAAATATTGTTACTGATATATAGAGTATAAATTATCTAAGTTATAAATTATCTAAACGTATCTCAGTGAATTTCAAAGTGTACCTAAGCAGTGGTGCATATAAATATTTTTCCACACACTTAATTGCTAGAGCTGATTATATGTGAATGAAACTTTTCTGGTTTGTTTTGTTTTAACTCAGGCTGATCTACAGCAAAAGAAGGAGCCAGCTCAGGAAGATTCTGACCTAGACCGCAAAAGAAGAGAGACAGAAGCTTTGTTACAGAGCATTGGTATATCCCCAGAACCACCTCTAGGTATTTAAGAGAAGCACACTGTAAAGCATTCAGCTCTGCCACAATGAATGCATTCCTTCTATTAAAGCATGCTTGGCTTTTTTGATTTTTGGCTGTATTAGTGAAGTGAACTCTTCTGTTTGAATGCTTGCCATACCATTCACATGTACCAGCTCATGGCATTTTGAGTACTTGTCATTGCCAAAAACATCTGTTTCATTTCTTCAAGAAATTTTTGTGAACATAATGCAGGTTGGTTTTGCATACCAGCAGTGATTTCTTTTCTGATGGACTGTTTTATCTTCTCTCGCATCTGTCTGATGACCCATAAAATAATATTAGAAATGCTGTACTTCGCTAGCCCCAAGTTTTGTTTCAAAAATTCAGATTAAGCATTTGCTAAGGAAGGAGGAGCATAGTCATGTGGGAACTCCCATTGATTTTCTTTTAAAATCAAGCAAAACTGGAGAGGGGAAATAAAAAGACAAATCACAACTAGCAAAAAGCTTATCATCAGATCATTACTGTAGATTTTAGATCTGGTTTCATGTGCTTGACCTCTTTTTTGGTTTTGATGTTTCAGTTCTAGAATCTGAAGTCCTCAGTTTAAAAATACATGTGGCAAAGTTTATAGTATCTGAATATTGGTTACCTTGATTAATTTGTGTCTCACTTATTGGGTGGCCCTAAAGTGAGAAATTCCCTTCCCTTCCCTTCCCTTCCCCCTTGAATCCGGAATCACTGTCACTATTTTAGCTGAAATATTGGCCCCTCTGGAGGTACCAAGCCTTGTCACTAAATTAATTGGGGCTGAATCTAGGATTTTACACCTAGATATTCTTGCTTGTAATATTTAGGAAAAACTCCAAATTTGACAAAATACTGAAGCCTTGATTTAGGAAAGCACCTTAACAGATGCTTGGGTGCAAATGCAAGTAGATTGTGACATTCAGAATTGGGATTTCAATTCATAACTTGCATCAACCAACATTTATTGAGAAAAGTTACTATTTTTATGTTATGATATAGTGACTGAAGCTTTTAAATACCACTTCTCAGAAGAATTGTCTGACAAGTAATGGTTAGGTTTTTATGTATCATAAAATATGTTTTGTAAATTATATCATGGTATTATAAAATCAGATACATTTTTAATGTTCTAGCATTTAAAATACTCATCTTTATCTAAAAATGAGGATATATTTCCTTATCATATTACTAACTAAACACATATATTCATGTTGCATATTATCAATTCTTATCTTAGTTAATTATTTTGCGTTTGTTACTATCAAAAGAACATGAAAATTCACATATAAGATTATTTGTTTTAGTTAAACAATAGGATTTTGTCCTCTTTCATTCCCTGTATATACACTAACAATTAATATACAAAGGAGGCTTTAATTCTGCCTTCACATACACGTATGATACCCAGATCCCACTGTGAATATGGAACACATAAACAGCCACGACATACCTGTAACCTGCCAAAGGGCTGTCACGAAAATGAATTCGCTTTTCATGCTGCAGTCACTTCTGTGACAGTCTCTAGTGAGAATCTGCATGAAATGTTTGACCACATGGAAAATCCAAATCTCTTGACAGGTCTGTCATTATACATTATAGAGCATAACAAAATAGTTTAAAGTTCTACTCCGTTAAATCTATAAAAGGAAATGCGCATGATTTAAACCAAATGGGAAACTTCGCTTTTGCATCAAAACCCCTTTTTGTGTTTTATTCAATGTGGCTGCTTTGAAGAATACTTGCATTAAATCTTGACTGGAGCCATCTCTGCATTTTAAATATTTTTGAGAAACCATTTTAAAAGAAATCAGGATATTTTTACTTTTTTATTTATTATTTCCTTGCTGAAGAGCTTTAACTTGGGCTGACCTCGAGCTATGAACTTCCTTTCCTGTTTCAGGAAACAAAACTGCCTTTGCATGAAATATGCTTCAAAAGCCCTGGCAAGCCAAAGAGAAAATCATTTCTAGAGCTTGGGCAAATAGCATCTAAACCAAGGGAAAATTTTCCTTGAGCGTTGAAATCATGTCCCACCCAAAATGGAAACTTTATATGACCTAAATTACTTAAGAAAACAAGATCGCTGAGCAAACTAATATGTATTCTCACCATCTTTGGGAAATGATTTTAACTTAGCTGGACTTCCTTATTTAGCTTTTATTTTTTATGTCATATCCACACTGCAGCCTTAGACCATATCTAACAGACACTGGCTTTTGATTTAAATTCAAAATTTGAAAAATATGCTTGTTCTATTGCCTACTTGACTTTACCAGAAGAGTTCACTTAGTTTTTTGACAAGACAAGCCCCTGATATTTCTTCATACTTTTAAAATCTTTTCCAAGTCAACTTTAAACTATACCCAAGAAAACAAGTGCCGGTTTACTTCCACAGATATCTCCTCCATTGATTAGCTGTAGACTCCCATTGGGCTTTCAGTCCTGTCTAAATTCATGTCAGTTTTAACACTTCCAAAAGACTTAAAATTCACTTGACTCTCTTCCTTTTCTTTTTCTTTCCTTCCTTATTTGCTTTCACCATTTCAAACTGTCCTACTCATTCATCCACTATCATTTTGGTCCATTGGTTTTGATTTGTCTGACACTGCTCTTCATCAGTGCAGTCGCTGCATGTGTTAACATGGGATACCTGTTATTTTCATTATTTAGTCCCAACCCCTATGTCTCCCTCTTCGAAATCAGTGAGCACACCCAGTGACGCAGGCAGCCAGGACTCGGGAGATCTGGGACCCATAGGAAGGTAAGACGCAAGAATTGATAGCGTTGAACAAATGTGGGTTTTTCACTTTGCTCTTACTTTCCCATTTTTCCCTTTGCTTCTGTAAATGAGAACGTGCTGTATCTAATGTGTACTTTTGTTTCTGCATTTTCCACTGTGTGTTACCATCCAGTAAGACTGGTCTCAGATGTGAGGTAAATAAATGCATGCAGCAAGCGGATCTTAAGCTATGAGCCCCACACCTCATATTGGAAGCAAGAGCTGAATTTACGCTTTAAAATGGCCCACAGAAAACTGTTAATTCTGTGTGGATATACACTAAAAACAGAGGGAAGTGCCCAGGGATAGAACCTGTTACTCATGTGAGTTATCTTTGTTCACATAACCAGTCCCCTTTGAAGTCCTCCCAGGTGTAACGCCAGGCTGCCTCGGGTTCTTGTGTGGCTGCTCGTCGCAGCGTGTGCCACTGACAGTGGCGGGGAAGAGCTTGTACAGAAACAGGCTGAAACACCCTGGGACCCACTGGCAATTCTGCCTTGGAAATTGTGGGAATCAAGAGTTCCGTGCAGAATGGGAGGGAAGCAGCTCTCTTCTTGTTGGAAAGGGATGGTGGGGTGTGTGTAGGGGATGGGCACAAGAGCAACCTTATCTTTGTTTGTACGGCTGAAATAGGAAATGAAGTGCCAATCCCAGAATAATTCCTACTCTGGAGTAGAAAAGAAAGGATGCTGCTGCTGGTAAAGGAGCGTATGTTCAAGTAAGAAGAGGTCCAAGCAACTATACTGTATATTTTGAGAAATGTAAAACACAGGTCCTAATAGTTCTTTTTGTATCAAACTAATTCAACACAAAGCTGAGCTGCCAGCTCATCCAAATCTGTGAGCCAAGACTCTGCTAATTGCTTGAAAACACGGTGATTGCTCTCTGCCGTTAACAGTTGTCAGGAGTAGTCACCATACCTCTACAGACTTCAGCACTAATGTCACAGAGCTTCAGGTCGCCAGATTTCATACCACACCAGCCTTCTGCTTAGAAAAATCACACTTCTGTAAGCTGAAATTATATTGTGTCCCACTTCAGCCGGATGCGGACACCGTCCGTTGTGGTGTGGAGGTTGCACAGCTGCTGCTGAAATCTGCTCAGCCCTTCTCCCAGGTCTACCCTCTAGAAGAAATGGAGGCTGTTAAGTAGAAAAGCCCTAGCCTGTCATATATGGCTGTTCAAAACACAGAAAATAGTGTAATGCTACATTCATAAATAAATGCAGTAGACTTCAGCAAATCGAAGTACTTTGAGCAGAACAAAAATTGTTTCTAAGCAAAGTATAACCTGCTGTTCAGGATAAAGTTATTTCCCACAGTCCTACATGAAGCTATGACAATGCTGGCTGGAGACTTCTAAATTCCTGGTTTTCTTCTGAACCTTAATGGTGTAACTTTTTTACTGTTAAGGTAGTGAAATGCCCTTGGAAGAATTTATTTTACTGTGACCTATGCTAGCACTTTGACTCTGTCAGCAGCAAGCAATGAAAGCACATGACCACGTGTCCTTCCAGGGGAGAACAGAGTTTGTCCTCTTCTTCAAAGCTCATGACATACTGCATTGTGGGCTTTCGTTTTGGATCCATTTTCTGGCTTCTTGTGGCCATACTAGGAACTCAGTGGGAATCCCAAGACCTTGTTTGTGGTCCACCAGTTTGCTTGCCATCCTCTCTGGTATTGAAAGGGTTGTGTTGTGTGCCAGGAAGGCCGAGGGTGTTTGCCTGGAGCGATTGGTTTGTGGTAATGGCAATTCGATGATGTCTGGTCCAGGCCCTGGGGAATAGTACTGGGTGGCAATTAGTTTGTCACTGGGTGCAGGTAGATGTGCTCAGTGTGTGGTTATGCGAAGGAGTACACTCAAGCATGCATGTGTGATAGAGCAGTCAAACTTGGAGGAAGATATTGGTAGACCTGTCATCACAGTGGGTAAACCAGGTGAAACCACCGCAGCAGTTTTCTCTCTGAGAGATGCCTAGACCATACTTTTGACTTATTTTAACTACTGCATATATGAATGCCTGTTTATCTGTATAAGCAAAGTTACTCTGCTTCATTGTAATGTATCCTTCCATTTCGCTCTCTATGATAGAGGGTACTTTCCCCGGATCCCCTCTCATGCCATCGTGCTTGTAAGATCTTCCCCTTTTCACCATTCTGCTGCAAATTTGCTGTACAACGGTAGACTGAGCACAGGCATTAGAGGAGAGCAGATTAGTTCCAAAGCTGCTAATGCCCCAATCTTGGAGGTCGCAGCTCGTCTGTTGTTGTTGCTGCTAACACTGCTGCAGAAATAACGAGCTCACACAGGCTGGCAGAAATCGTGCATGCAGTCTGATTATTCATTGCTGAAGTTTTCTCCAGAGGAAGATACGGATACTAAAAAAAAAAAGCGGTGAAGTCACAGATTTTGGTTCACTACAGGAGGGAGGCCCTGTTGAAAGCTTTGAAGAAAGCAAGAGATCTTTGTACGCTCCCATTTGAGGCAGCAGTTTCTGGTGCAGAGCTAGGTTGCGTTCATACTTCTGTGAGTTGTTGGCACTTTTGGTAGTTGTCAGACTTAATATATCGGTCTTAATATTGCCGGGTATCTGGGGTATGTTTTGATTGGCAAGCACCTATGATTTCTTACAGAACAACGAACGTAGTTTAGCCAGAAATCCAGGTTTCTGACATCCACTTTTCAGGAAGGACAACTGATAAATTGGAGAGAGTTTGGACAGTGTTAAGTAGGTGTTATCCTGGAACCACAGACCTCACTCTACCTTACTTTGCAAGATGAAAACTAACTGGTAACTTGCTCACCAAGTGTAATAGTCATACGGGGAGCAAAAGGGCTCCAGCAGGAAATGTGTAAGAGCAGCAAATTGTTTGGCATTGAAGCTGGACAAATATAAAACCAGAAAAACTTTGTAAAATTTTAATGGTGAGACAAATTACTCACTAAAGCAATTTACCTAAAGACGCTATTGGATCTTCTATCACTGGACATTTCTCATTCAGGATAATGTGCCTGCCCAACAGGCAGATAATAGTCAAACAATAATTCATTCAGAAAAGTCGTACAGCTTTTTTGTTGCACAGGAAGAAAAGCTGCATGGTCACAATGGTTCCTTCTGCCATACGATCTATAGACTAGTAGTGCTGCTATCCTGCAGGACCATTGTCCATTATCTCCAGCACAATAGCTAGAGCAACGTTGTCTTTTCCCTGATGCCATTAAGCTTATTAGGAGAAGGTGTGGGACAGACTGTGTAATAGCACTAAATTATGGAACCATTTCTGTCCTGTGCAGCCCAGGTTTTTATGGGTTTTTTTTGCTGCTTGACCTTTAGCACCACGTTGCTATTTGCCATAGCCTTTTCACTAGGGATAAGACTAGGTTTTGGGAGCGTTCCAGCTTCCCCCTGAGCCATGACAGCAACAATAAGAATGAGCAGATGTTAGATGAATAATGGTGCTAGAAACTACTGACAGTTTTCTTTGAATGCTTTCAGTTGGACAGGAGAACCAACTTTTTTTTGGTGGTTCTTGGGGATCAATTCTGGCTAGGCAGATTCTGGAAGATTTTACCATAACTGTGCACTGTGCTGAGTTATCAGGCTGCTTGGAAGAATTCATTAGAGCCCTGTTGTTGCACAGAGAGCAACTTGCCTGTCTCCACTGTGCACTGAAGAAATAGGTTGGGTATGTGCTGAGTTATCAGGCTGCTTGGAACAATTCATTAGAGCCCTGTTGTTGCACAGAGAGCAACTTGCCTGTCTCCACATTGCTTTGCACGCCCCACTTCACTTTTCTGATGGCAGTGTTGCTTGTGCTACACAGATAGGACGGGAAAATGACATCACACCCTGAACAGATACCTATCTCTAGATAGATGGGTTATTGGTTCACAGGGCTTTCTGTTATGATGTATTCAGACATGACTCATTTTCCACAAGACAGTGTTGTGGGATCCCATGAAGATTCTCCTTGGAATAGAGTATGCTTGGCTCTTTCAGGATAAGTATTTTGTTTAGCGACATTGATGCCCAGTGTCCTGTTGCTGATGGTCAGCTTATACAGACACGCACAACTGAAATGTAGATTTCAGCTAACTAGATTTGAGTTAAAGGCATTTGCCTTTGAGTTAAAGGGGGTGAGTTAAAGGCATTTGCCGAGAGCTTCTGTGCTGTAACATGGTGTGAAACACAGATTTGCCTCTTTGAGACTATCAATGTGGAGCTTCTTCACGATAACTATATGCATCTCAGCCCTCCCTAGTAGATACTCTGAACTTTTGCTACCTTAGCGTGGCAGAGAGGATGCTAGCTATCATAGTACAACTGTCATGAAACAGTGCCCATGGGGATGCATGTTTTACTACTCAACATACCTTAGACATTCGTAAATCTTATCTTCTCACCACGCACACCCACGAACAGCATGTTTGTGTCGTCTGGGAGAGCACACAAGGACAGACCTTGTACAGTGCTTCAGAGCCAGGCAGTGCAATACCAGGTCTTGTGGGCTGAGCCAGCTCTCTGGAAAAGCCCCAGTGTCTTGTCACAGGTAGAGCCAGAGCACTAGGGTCAGTCCATGCTTTGCATGCTGGCTCAACATAAGATAGCAGAAATATAGCTGTGCTGGAAGGATGTGCTCCTGTGGCTGGGTAGCTCTCGTGCTAATACTAGCCTGCATTGGTATATATTCTTGTATTACCTGCAGGGTGTCTGTGTTCACCCTGACATATTGCACGCTTGGAGGAGTTGCATTTGTCGACCAAGGTGTGATTTATCTGTGTGGCCCATTTTTTCTCTGTATCACTGCTCCTATATGTTCCCAGCTAGCTTCATTACTCTACAATAGTAGGTTTGCACAGTAGCATCCCATTTATTGTTGAGCTGGGTTGTGTGTGCGTGCGTGCACTGAAGTCCCATGCATGCAGCACTTCCCTCTGTGCATTTTCTCATGGGATCTGGAAGATGAGAATCCCACTAGGCT